CTCAGCACCTCGTAGATATGTATTTTCTGGACAAATAAAGAACTAAGCAGTTTCCTGACCCTTCCACAAGTGAATTCCTATTCCACCTACCTGCCGATCTCCTCTTTAACCTCAAAGAAAGATTTTAGCTTCCGCCTCTTGGGAACAATCTTCGTGTCTTCTTCTTTCTCGTCTGAAAGTGAGAAAACTCCCATCATACACTCAGCACAGCTCGCGCTCCCTGGGATCAGGATGTCACTCTTGCCAAATCCCCGTTTAACTTTAAAAAGCCATTCTTGATCTTCAGTCAGTGACTCTGCCTAGGCTGAGATGATGTCATCAGTCTGCTGCAGGCAGGAGGAAGCATTTCCTCAGCCTCCCCTCCCCTCCCCCAGTGATCAGACTGCTGCAGGCTGGAAGAAGCATTTCCTCAGCCTCCCCTCCCCCAGTGATCAGTCTGCAACATTGTAACTTTGTAACAAAGTGAGAGGCTGCACAAGGGGGCTGATCTGTGCCTGACATTCGTGAATACAGTCAAGAACTGCAAAGGACTGTGTCAACTCTGAAACAGTGTCTCAGTCTCTGATAGTGGCAGCTATGGACCACGCCTGTGCAGTATGTACTTTTCTTTTACTACCCTGCTGTATACAGTAGCTACCTACTATCCATGTACAATAGATATTGGGAAATAATTACCCTCCTGCATAACCAGCTCAGCCTTGCAAGACACCTCTCCTCCGCCGTTCCTGGCCACGCAGGTGTACACCCCGCCATCTCCACGCACTGTGCTTCGTATGACCAGGGAGCACTTCCTGCCGTCTCTCACCAGCTGGAGGCGTTCACTGTCCTTCAGCAACGTGTTATCCTGCAGCAGAAGACACAGAAGCATCAAGCCTCATAGATACAAAGTTAGAGCTTCACCATCCAGACACGTTACAAACGTCAGACCATGTGACTGCTATGGGTCCAGAGAGAAGGAGGGGGACCCACACTGTCTAGCTATAATATTCTATATCTCTCTGGAAATGGCTTTAGAGATGAGAGATTATAGGTGAAGGCGGCCCCTTAAGAGTATGTCCAGGCAAGACTTTTTCTTTGATAGGTCTGGATAGGATAGAGAAGGATTAAAACTCGTATCGAGCTGATATCCAAGACTCATGTACAGAGATTACCCTATATTTATTGTCATGGTGATGACGGTTCTGTAAGCGGGATCTCCAGCAGGAGGAAGGAGGTCCTGATTCCTCTATATAGATCTTTATTATCACTAGAGGGATCTCCAGCAGGAGGAAGGAGGTCCTGATCCCTCTATATAGATCTTTATTATCACTAGAGGGATCCCCAGCAGGAGGAAGGAGGTCCTGATCCCTCTATATAGATCTTTATTATCACTAGAGGGGTCCCCAGCAGGAGGAAGGAGGTCCTGATCCCTCTATATAGATCTTTATTATCACTAGAGGGATCCCCAGCAGGAGGAAGGAGGTCCTGATTCCTCTATATAGATCTTTATTATCACTAGAGGGATCCCCAGCAGGAGGAAGGAGGTCCTGATTCCTCTATATAGATCTTTATATCACTAGAGGGATCCCCAGCAGGAGGAAGGAGGTCCTGATTCCTCTATATAAATCTTTATTATCACTAGAGGGATCTCCAGCAGGAGGAAGGAGGTCCTGATTCCTCTATATAGACATTTAGTGATCACTAGAGGGATCCCCAGCAGGAGGAAGGAGGTCCTGATCCCTCTATATAGATCGTTATTATCACTAGAAGGATCCCAGAAGGAGGAAGGAGGTCCTGATTCCTCTATATAGATCTTTATATCACTAGAGGGATCCCCAGCAGGAGGAAGGAGGTCCTGTTTCCTCTCTATAAATCTTTTTTTTCACAAGAGGGATCCCCAGCAGGAGGAAGGAGGTCCTGATTCCTCTATATAAATCTTTATTATCACTAGAGGGATCCCCAGCAGGAGGAAGGAGGTCCTGATTCCTCTATATAAATCTTTATTATCACTAGAGGGATCCCCAGCAGGAGGAAGGAGGTCCTGATCCCTCTATATAGATGTTTAATTATCACTAGAGGGGTCTCCAGCAGGAGGAAGAAGGTCCTGATCCCTCTATATAGATCTTTATTATCACTAGAGGGATCCCCAGCAGGAAGGAGGTCCTGATTCCTCTATATAGATCTTTATTATCACTAGAGGGATCCCCAGCAGGAGGAAGGAGGTCCTGATCCCTCTTGATCTTTAGTTAGATCCCCATTTAGAATACTGTGTCCAGTGGAGATCCAACTTACAAAAATATATTGATAGGAAAGAACAAGTCTATAGTTCAGGAGAGACTGCAGGAACTTAATATTTGCAGTTTTGAAGAATAAACGGAAAGGGGGGACATGACTTAAACCTTTAAACAAGGAGTGCGACATTGGGAAAGCCATTGTGAACCTTTCTCGTCAGAAGATCAATCTCATCAGGTGAGTTAACCTGAACTGAAAAGGGGAAGGGGGGGATTGGTTTAGGCACAAGGGAGCACCTGCAGATCATTCATCTTTGGTGTATGAGAAATAATGATTGCCAATTCTACAAATTGAAAGCTCACTTGGGTCCGGAATGGACTGATTGCACTTTGTACTTTATGCTAAGTGGATAACAAACTGGTTGCTATTGGTTACCATTGATCAAAAGGTTGCATGTGTTGGACTGTCTGTCGGACTTAATGAACGGACATTTTGCACTTTAAGTTGTAAAAAAACTGTTTACTATCGGTTACAATCATCTCTTCTCTATAAGTAACTGACGTCTCCTTGTTTCCTGTACAGGCCTTAAAATAATACTGACCCTACTGATGTATTCATAGAAATCTATCCGATCACTTCCAGTGTACCGTTCTACCTAATAACCAAATAATTACTTGCAGGGTGGACAGGGAGCAAACCTCGGCATTGCAGGGACTGTGTGGTGACTTTGCGCTCACCTTGTACCAGGTAACGGTCAGTGGGGGGCTCCCGTCTATAACGGCCTCAAACTGTGCCGTCTCCCCGCAGTTGGCGTGCACATCTTCTATAGTCACCTGCATATACGGGGGTCCTGCAAGACACAATACGTTGGACATTTTTTTTCAGCCGATCAACTGTCAACATTGAACATTTTTTTGGCAAGACGTGTTACAAACTTGCACCCGCCCGGTTCTGCTCCACGCTCCTGAAGGCTGCTGATGCAGCTGACCTGGGCGGGAAAAAGAAAGGGGGCATGGCCAGGGCCGGATTTCCCACAAGGCCAACCGAGGCCCGGCCTCGGGGCAGCAGGGAGTAGAGGGGCAGCAAGGAGTAGAGGGGCAGCAAGGAGTAGAGGGGCAGCAGGGAGTAGAGGGGCAGCAGGGGTGTGGAATTCCTATCTCCCGATGCCCAGGAAATGCGGGTGGTTGATTTCTACATTTTGCCCTGCTTTGGGCAAGCAGGGCTAAATGTAGAGCGGGGAAGCTGGCGTTCATTCTGTACAAGTGATTTAAAAAGTTTAAAAAACGAATAAGGAAAAATAAATAACTTAAAACCAACCCTGGCACCCCGCTGGGGGGAAATTTGACGGGGAAGGGGGCACTTTAAGGAACCTGGCCTTAGGGCAGCAGAGAGAGTAAATCCGGCCTTGGGCATGGCTACAAAGCTGAACATGGTCATATGCGTATGCTGGCATGGTGTCCTGAATCTCTAAATCAGCTAGATCAAGTACGCAAAGTGACCACACCGGTTTGGAGCTGCGTCCATGCTTGCCATGGTCATAGTCAGGATGTGAAGTTTGGTGGCTCTACAAAGTGTTGACTTTTTTTCGGGGTGGGGTTAATGCTTATACATCAGGCAAAATGATGATGCCTGATGAAGGGGATCTTGTGAGACCCCGAAACGTTGCTTTTTTGATGCATTGTGCTATGTTTCATGCGTCAATAAACAGACGCAATTGATTCATTTCTTGCAGTGCCGGTGTCTATGTTATCCCTTAATGCTTATACACATTTAAGACTTCTGGGCCTTAAATATTGTTAGGGTCACAAAAAAAATTATTTTGCGCCTACAAAGTGGTAGGCATGTTGTGTACATCACATGGTACAAACCCCCAAAAAATCCACTTTAAATTCCAGGTTGCAATGCAACAAAACAGGAAAAACACCAAGGGGGTGAATACTTTTGCAAGCCACTGTATACAAGAATGTAGTCAATCTGACATTTTGCACGTAGAGAACCAGTTGCTAAGTCATGATTTATAATAAGTTTATTGTTTCTTGTAAGGCAGGAAATTAAGATGTCCAGCGGGCCCTTGTACCGCATTAAAACTTTCTTCCATATCCTAAACATCGTCGGCCTTATCCTGCGCCAATATAATTTTATTAAACTCCCCGCAAGCTGCTGTTATTAATAAATGAGTCAGGCCTCCAGATGCCATTAACGTGATTTAAGGACAATTAAATAATCATCGTGTTATTTTTGCTTCAGTAAAGCTTAAATATATGGATTCATCTGCCTGGAAGAATACACTTCACAATTACTTGTATTCCGACTGTCATTCCGACATCCCGCGAGGAACGGAAAATTTCCATGAAAAATAAAAAAAAAGGTATGAAAAACGACTTTCCTTTGTGAAATAGTCCTTAGCAATTTGTAGATTTAATTAAATAGACTTTAATATGATAAAACATCATTTAGAGCTGTATATTGCAAGTACAAAGTGTAGCGCTTACATCAACAGACTCAAACACGTGCCGAGAATAAACCTTCGTGACAAATACAGTATCTCCCAGACGTGAGTACGCCCCTCACATTGGATGATATCATGTCATATGACGACACAGAAGAGATGACACTTTGCTACAATGTAAAGTAGTGAGTGTACAGCTTGTATATCGGTGTACATTTGCTGTCCCCTCCAAATAACTCAACACACAGCCATTAATGTCTAAACCGCCGGCAACAAAAGTGAGTACTAAGTGGGCCAAAAGTGTCAATATTTTGTGTGGCCGCCATTATTTTCCAGCACTGCCTTAACCCTCTTGGGCATGGAGTTCACCAGAGCTTCACAGGTTGCCACTGGAGTCCTCTTCCACTCCTCCATGAAGACATCACGCAGCTGGTGGAGGTTAGAGACCTTGCGCTCCTCCACCTTCCGTTTGAGGATGCCCCACAGATGCTCAATAGGGTTTAGGTCTGGAGACATGCTTGGCCAGTCCATCACCTTTACCCTCAGCTTCTTTAGCAAGGAAGTGGTCGTCTTGGAGGTGTGTTTGGGGTCGTTATCACCCCAACTGACTGGCGGAACGGACAGGGGAGGGGCCGGGTACAGCTGGGTCTGCCTCTAGATAGGCAGAGCCAGCTGTCAGTCACGCAGCTGGGCGGATCCCGGCATAATTGTCGGGATGCGCTTCAGCTGCGGCGTCTCAGTATACCGCGAGCTACAGGTGGCGGTATACTGAGCCTAGGGTGACGGGAGGACGCCTAGTTTGTGTCCCCCCGTTAACCTAAGGAGAACTATGGGGAAAAGCCTTAACCCCATACTTCTCCTTTACCTAATTTAAGAAATTGCTGTCCACCCCTCCGGTGCTGAACTATAGAAGGCTGTTTAACCATTGACACTGTCAGCAGCAGAGGCTTTCACCATAATATAATGACCAATTTCCTAAATCCTAAACACACTCATCTCCTTTTCCTAAATTTTTGTCGGTTCCATTTTATGTTTTCTTTTTTTATCTGTAGTTTTGCCTTGTAAGTTTTTAGACCAGGTGTAGGCAACCTTGGCACTTCAGCTTTAGTGAAACCACAAATCCCATCATACATCTGTCTATGGGAGCCATGTCTGTGGCTGTCAGAGTCTTGCTAAGCCCCATTGGACTTGTAGTTTAACCACAGTTGGAGGGTTGAGGTTGCCTACCCCTGGTTTACTTTATAGCTGGAGGTCTGAGGTTGTCTACCTCTGCTTTAGAGCTGGAGTTCCGAGGTTGCCCACCTCTGGTTTAGAGCTGGAGGGCTGAGGTTGCCTACCTCTAGTTTAGAGCTGGAGGGGTGAGGTTGCCTACACCTGGTTTAGAGCTGGAGGTCCGAGGTTGTCTAACTCTGCTTTAGAGCTGGAGGGGTGAGGTTGCCTACCTCTAGTTTAGAGCTGGAGGGGTGAGGTTGCCTACCTCTAGTTTAGAGCTGGAGGGGTGAGGTTGCCTACCTCTAGTTTAGAGCTGGAGGGGTGAGGTTGCCTACCTCTGGTTTAGAGCTGGAGGGGTGAGGTTGCCTACCTCTAGTTTAGAGCTGGAAGGGTGAGGTTGCCTACCTCTAGTTTAGAGCTGGAGGGGTGAGGTTGCCTACCTCTAGTTTAGAGCTGGAGTTCCGAGGTTGCCCACCTCTGGTATAGAGCTGGAGGGCTGAGGTTGCCTACACCTGGTTTAGAGCTGGAGGTCCGAGGTTGTCGAGCTGGAGGGGCGAGGTTGCCTACCTCTAGTTTAGAGCTGGAGGTCTAAGGTTGCCTACCTCTGGTTTAGAGCTGGAGGCCCGAGGTTGTCTAACTCTGCTTTAGAGCTGGAGGGGTGAGGTTGCCTACCTCTGGTTAAGAGCTGGAGGGCCGAGGTTGCCTACCTCTGGTTTAGAGCTAGAGGGCTAAGGTTGCCTACCTCTGGTTCAGAGCTGGAGGGCCGAGGTTGCCTACCTCTGGTTTAGAGCTAGAGGGCTGAGGTTGCCTACACCTGGTTTAGAGCTGGAGGGCCGAGGTTGCCTACCTCTGGTTCAGAGCTGGAGGGACGAGGTTGCCTACCTCTGGTTCAGAGCTGGAGGGGTGAGGCTGCCTACCTCTGGTTTAGAGCAGGAGGGCCATGGTTGCCTACTTCTGGTTTAGAGCTTAAGGGATGAGGTTGTTCTTTTATCTCTTTTGGATCTTTACGTTTTATAAGCCGGTAGAGCCATGACACCTTAGCACTAACTTTATTATTTTATTTTACTCTGGTCCAAAAAGCAGATGCAAAGCACTTTTATAAAAACTCTATTTATTCTTTTAGAATGTCTCTGCAATGCCTTCCATAAGAGATGAAGATTGTGATCTCCAAAAGGCTTCTATGGAAACACATCTATCTGCATTTTGCTGGATTGTACTGGATGTGACTGTCATCTTTCTATCTAACTCTTTCTCTATAATTTAATGGAAAATTGAATATACCTTTCCTGGTTAAAAGCTGAACTCCGGGAAGAATGATACTGGATGTGTAAAGTATTACTTAAAAGCTGAGTGTTATGTGCACAGGGCGGCTGCAAAGCATAACAATCTTACCATGCAGCATGTTGCCTCCTATACATAACACTCGGCTTCCAGGCACCGCAGTGGGTGAGGGATGTAACCTGAGCAGTGACGTGCTCCGTTCGCATCCCTGACAATTTGCCCATTCATGAAATGCCTTGTATTTTATGAATACAATGGGTTCTGGGATTGGAGGAGAGGAGGGGGCAGGGATGCAACATCCACGCTCGGCCTCCAATCACAGAACGCCTTGTATTTTTATATATATATATATATATATATATATATATATACAAGGCATTTTGTGAATGGGCAAGTAGTGAGGAGAGGTGGGGATGCTACTGGAGCACTTCACTGCTTGAGTCACATCTCTCACTCCCTGCAGCATCCGGAAGACTGGTGCTGGTGCAGGAGCCCCCATGCTGCAAGGTAACATTTTTATACTTTGCACCCACCCTCCACACATAGAGCATTATAATGTGTTTTTTTTAACCAAGTTGTTTGATGAAGTGCTGAGTCTGTCAGCAACATTCCTGTGCTGTGGTCAGGGATATCCTTATAATACAGCGGTTTTAGGCTATTGCCTCAGGCGGTATCTCTAAGGGTCACGTGGGGATGGGTAGGTGGGGGGAGGCAGGTAGAGTGGCATGGTCACTCTTCTGCACAATGTTAGCAGTGTGCCTGCTGCCCCCTTTTTGGCCAGAGAGTCCCAGGTTACTAAGAGCAACCTGGGATGCTCTTGCCGCCGTCCCGCTCAGCTCCTGCCAACCAGTGACATCGTTGGTTGGCAGGAGCTGAGTGGGATGCTCTGGCCAGTGTCCCACCCAGCA